ATCCTTCCGTAGGCTTTACTTGAGCAGCTGGTTGAGAGAACGGTGCCTCTCGTTGCAATCTGATTCCGCCGGGATATCTTTGCGGCGTTCGAACAGCTCCAGAGAACGAGCAGAGATCCCAGCCTTCAAGAGGCGTCGAGTTAGGCCGCAGCATGACTGTCCGGAAATGGTCATTGTCTTCCGTATACAAGTCCAGTGTTGTTCCACTTCTTGCGGTGAATTGCAACTGACTGCATATGCCAGTGAAGACTGATAGCTCGCCTGGACAGAGGAATCAGTTAATCTGTTTACATCAATCTTGCGGTGCTTTGTGTTTCGGGATCCTCCAAAACACGTAAAGATTTTCGCGCAGACCAGAGCATAATCTGAGTCAACGAAGGTAGACCAAAAGGACCTGCAGTCCAGTACGCTGCAGCGCCATCTGAAGCTAATTACAATGTGATCAATTTGAGACCACGGTTGTGTTGAAGAAGGGGAACGCCACTTTGCGGAACGCTTCTTCGTACGCCTGAAGTTAGTGCTCGAGAGAAACAGATGGTTGTCTTCGCACAATGTGAGAAGTCTCTCCGTTATCAGAGCGGTTCTCATCGAGCGAGTGATGACCACCAAGGTGGCGTTCATATGATAACAGGCGGCCAACCCGTGCATTAAATTCCCCAGCAAGGATAACGACATCCGACTTTTTAGTATTAGTCAAGAGCTGTTGTAGATCCCGGTAGAATTCGTCCTTGACGGAGTCGTCATTGCAGTCATTTGGAGCGTACACAGAGACCACAAACAAGTTGTGTCTCTCTTCGCCTACCAACCTTTGGTCGGCAATGTTTTCAATCGAACATGAATTGTACTTTATAGGTGCAATTCATTAGTAGTTCCTTTACTCGTTGGACCGGAATATGGATGTCAATTTTGTTTTCGCTTAGGTGTTCGCAAATAAAGTTAACAGTTGCTATCAAGGGGACATTCGTAAAGAGTGCTTCTACGTCGAAAGACAGCATCAACTTGTCCCTCACATTCAGGTCTTTTACCTGTTTAACAAAATCAAAAGTACCGCTCACAGTGTGGACCGATAGTTCTTTAAGTAGTGGTTCGAGTAAGTCAACAAGCCACTTGACAACTACGTGTACAGCAGAGCCGGACATGTCGATGATCGGACGCATTGGCAGGTTAGGCTTGTGCACTTTTGGTAGCCCGTAGAGGCGGGGTGGGTGTGAGCCACATGGAGTTAGACGCTCGAGCAAGCAGCCTTCAATATAGTTGTCGCGCTTGAGTTCTTTCAGCAACTTGGTGAGTGTAGTTTCCTCATTTGCGGTGTATCTTTTGTACCGGATGAAGCATGAATTTGATAGCATCCTACAAAATAGCATGCATCTTCAACGTTTGGTTATCAATACCTAACTCGATCCTTTGTCAGGCCGGGAGAACAAAACTACGGGATTAGATGTCAGTTCTTCTGGGGCTTTTCGCTGCTCATTAGTGATCAGTATTGAGAGTTGCGGCTTGCGGTTCAAGAACTTATGAGAAGGGTGTAGCAGAATGCTCTTGAAAGAGGCTTTCGTGAGGAAAGAAATAGGTGTCCAATGACTTAGCTGTTGCATGAAACTCGAATTGCGTTTATACATGAATCTATCCACTGCTTGGCCACGGCAAACAGAATTTCGGTCACAATGAGAGAGCTTCCAGTTGATACTTGTTCAACTGCACGTTAGTAACGTTGTGAACGTACTGTCCTTGATGTTGTGGAAATTCCGATTCAGGTATGTTTACTTCCAGGCTTTTCAATACCATCCTGTACTTTCTCTCACCATCTTTGTTACAAATATCATTCATGTTGCTTCCAAAAGAGGAGCGTTCAGCAGCGTCGAGTTCATCCAAAGACAGTTGCTAATGCGTACAAAGTCGTTCTAACACGGGAAATCTTGAAGGAATGGCTTCCAAATTGTTGGACGCGTGCCGTTTCAAGGATTTTTCCATCGGATGAACATGACATCGTCTAAGTGATTCCCAATACGTTTTAGGATACTGATTGCCTTGTATGCCTTCCTTTATGAACGGAATTTCTCCCGTCGCCTTTGCCAGGTAAGCTCTAAACTCCAACCATTTGTTAAGATCGAGAACACCGTTAGTTGCTTGCGTCTCTTTAATTCGTGCATTGCGCCCACATATAGAGTAGAAGCAGAAGAGGAGTTGCCGTGAAGAGATCTCCTTTCGCTACTTCTCCTCAGGTATTTACAGTTATGATAAAACTTGATACAACACGATAAGCTATCTAAAGCTGCAGCAGTAAATGGTTACGTCACCGTTCAAAGGAAAGGCAACGATCTAATCGATAGATCAGTCAATGGAATCGGGTGGTAAACGTCACGCGCTTTCACACCCCAAACACTGAAATGCCAACATAACAAGAAAGAGATGGTTGGTTTGGCGCCAAAGCTCGCAGTTCGTCCTGGGAAGAGGTGCGTACAGACGGAGTCAATCATCCCGGCCAAGACAGCGTGAGCACTTGTACAAACGTCCATTGCTTGCATAACTCCGGCTGCAGCAGCGTGATAGCCATTGCTTCCGAAGTAGCCAACAGGCGCTTCCTGAGTCCTTTTAAGTTGCGTTTAGATACAGCATAAAGTACTTCGCAAGTTTCAATGAATCACAGGCAATGCTGGTCTTCAGCAAAGCAAATATTCCCAAGTTATAAATAGGAATCCGTATAAGAAAATAGTTCAGTGTGAAGAATTCTTTTCGGTAAATTCTCATCGGACTTAAACGTTTACATAACACCGATTTTGGAGAAAGCGTCAACGCGAGCTGGGATTTACTTCTGGACTGTTTACACGATCAAAATCCATAACTTGTGGCAAAACTATAGATGGTATGCCAAGTGAACTAAATAAACATGCATACAATACTCAGTAGTCCGAAGTAATTAGGTGGGTAACGTAACAACCAAATAACTAAGTAACAGTGTCCGTTGACCAAGGTGCTCGTATCGGCCGTATGAATCGTTTTTGTGCACATACTTCCGGCTTCAGACGGTGAACGCACATAGCCTCGGCGATAGATAAGAGCTGTTTGCGGAATCCTCGGGAGAATTGTTCAGATAATGAGAAGAGGACTTTAAAGTCATTCTCCGAAACTGTATGGCAACATTCAAGGAGGTGCGACATGATTGAGCTGTCTGAGGACCCCATTTCTTGTTTGTAAAACCACGTCGGGATGTATTCACAAATCCTCTGAGATAGACGTCTCGTTGTGCGACCCACCTATCGTGCACCGCAGGAGCACGAGTCCTGATAAATGATCATTGAACGGGTCAACGGCAGCAGTCTATTCTGCAAGGGTTTTGTAAGTAACGGCTTGTTGTGAAAAATGACTCTCAGGCTGGCCGCGAAATAAGTTTTGTCAACAGCATCTTCCAGGCGTCTGGATAACGTGTCATCTGTAGAATCACCCTTATATGATACGTGGATGAAAACCTCTTCCTTAGAAGCAATGCTCTTAGGTGGCTTTTGATTGCATTACTTCAAATGCTTCCTGATAACTTTATCAGGATAGTGATTTTCCATGAGTACGTCGCTGATTCTATGTAGTTCTTCGTTGACGGTATCCAGCGTACAGATACCGCACGCCCTGAAGGCGAGAGATCTGAGTAAATTCCGCTTATGCAGAAGAGGTACTGCGCAGTGGAAGTTATTGTACTGCCCAGTCCATGTATGCTTTCGGTGTACCTTTCTGCTGCATGATCCGTCCGAGTTACGGATAACCTCTACATCCAAGAAAGGTAACCAGTTTCTGAGTTCGTATTCGTAACTGAAGTGGAGGTTCTCGTGTGCGTCATTGAAAGCTTTCAGCAACTGTTCCGCATACTTTTCGGATTTGCAAAGTACGAAGGTGTCATCAACATACCGCACGTACATTTCTGTTCCACGGATGTGCGGTGCAAATGGTCCATGTTTCAATTTCGCCAGGAAAATATCAGCCAGCAGCGGCCCCAAAGGAGATCCCATGGCCACTCCGTCAATTTGTCGGTACATTTTACCATTGAAGGTGAACTGAACATTTAAAGTGCAACGAAGTAGCACCTTCGTTAGCAAGTTCTCCGGAAAAGTTGCGTATATGGGCAGTTACCGAGCGAGCTCGCATAAGTAATCCACGGTTTCGAGCAATGGAATGTCTGTGAACAGTGACTGGGTATCGAATTATATCATCCTTTTATTAACAAGGTTGATTTCAGATATCCTCTCAATGAATTCGAACGTGTCTCTCACGTAGTAAGTGAAAACCAAATTCCGTAACGGCCGCAGCTTCGCCATCATCCATTGCGCCAACAACTGCTGTGGAGAACCCACCATGTCCAAGATTGGGCGCATTGGGGCGCCTTTCTTGTGAACTTTAGGCAGGCCATATAATCTCGGTAGGTGTCCACCCGAAGGCCTCAGCTTTTGGAATTCATTCTTCGTGATGAGTTTGACTTGAACCATTCGCCTGAGGCAGCCGGTCAGCTGTTTCTCTAACTCCCTTGTGTTGTCTTTTCCTACCATGAGCCTCTGAAGCTTTCTCTCGTACCTGAGGATGTGCTGCAATTTATGGATATAATCCACTCTATCTATTAACACTATACCGGAGCTCTTGTCTGGCTTAGAGATTCTTAATTCGTTGTTGAACCGTAGCTCTTTAAGTAACTGAATTTGTTCCCTAGTGATAATACCACTACTAGATTGTTTGGTCTTAACGTATTCGTGATAACTATGGACTAGGTTAGATTTTAGATTCCCAACATCTCTTGATGAGGTTGGAAGCAGGTCTTTAGTCTGAGCAATTAGGTTGTCAAACTGCACCTCTAAAGTCACCTGATCTATTTCTTTCTTACATGAAACGCAAAAGTTTGAACCTAATGACAACACGTTCAGCTGCGTCTGGGCTAGTATCACACTTGTAAAGTTAAACACAAATCGTTGCGGATTATTCGGAAATGCCCACTGGGGGACATGGCTATTAAGCGTACTAACTTATTTTGTTTTCTTACTCCCACTTTTTTGATTAACCAGTCCTACAGATTCCTCAAAAGGTTGTCTTAAGTCTTCAGGCAGGCATAACACCGCTGGTAATCTTAGCGACATGAATCTCTCCAGCTCCGACTTCTTAACGCGAATGGTATCCACATGATTGAGCACATGTCTCTTCAAAGTTTTTGCGTTTGGGTAGATGCCACACCGTCGTATTGCCCTCCAAAAGTGCTTTTCCCAGTGGTTTGCCTGAATGCATTCATAAAGGAATTCCAATTCCACCCTGGATTCTTCCAGCCGAATATTGAACTTCAGATACTCTTTCAAGAGTTTCAAGGACTCACGGGCAATGCTGGTCTTCAGCAAAGCAAATATTCTCATTTAAGTAATATAAATCAATATCAGCAATCATCGGTCCGAACATGATGCCCCGTACTAATCACGTGTTCAAGGACGGAGCTATGAACATTCTTAACTGTACCATGTTGTAAAGAGGCGGGACAGTGTTCCGCTATCCTTTTAGACAGACTCCTGGTCGGGTGTCCGAGATACCTGGCACCAAAAGCGCATGGGAAATGATACACAAAGAATTTCGTGTAATAAATGGAAACCGATGATAATTCTCGTTAGTCTGGCCTTCGCAGAAATCACGGAATTTTCGGATGACAGTTTCCAGTTCAGCTGGGTCTTCCTCCATTTCATATTGAAGCGTTATTATGACGCTACGTGCTTCATCTCTGATCGTATGTCAACACATAACCGATCGATGCACCACCGGTTGTTCATTCAGCCGCGCCAGTACACAGAAAGGCATTCACATGCATTTCCAGATTCTCTAATTATTGACTAAATTCTGTTCTTCCATGTTTAGTAGGACAGGTAGTTACACAGCTGGTTGCGCTCTAATCTGAGCACTATTAGGTAATCTTGGCTTGATTTTCTGGCACGATGAAGTAAAACTCGGTCCTTCAGGGACAAGCATTTTATTCAACAAAGCGAATTCAGCAAAAATGACAGCATGGTAGGCATGTAAGAACATAGATTTAAATGACTGAGTCATTTCCATAACTAACGATGCTATTGCATTCATGAGATTCCTTCTTTGAATCAGTTAAACAAACCCGTTCCAGCGAACCAATCAGCGCTTAGATGAATTATGTGTAGCTATCCAATCAACTGCTCTTTTCACTTGCGCCACGCTAGCCGCGAGCTTCGTCACATAACTCGTATCGTCCTTCTGCGTGCACAATCCGACCACAATACTTGCATAGGCTGTGTAACTAGGCGATGAGTTGTCTTACATTAATTCGGTCCCGACCAACGCCCAGCAGCCCATCAACCAGACGGCAAACTCCCATAGTTGCGCTCACAAGGTGGCTGAGGAATTGGATATGTGGACCCAGATGGGTGAGTGACCAATAAATTGGACCGCAGTTATCAACCGGAGTGGTGATTGATGAACGGACTTTTTCTGGTAAAATGCGACTCACCACAACTCCAACATACACGTGGTGATTTCTGTCGTGCAGTGTTCTACGCCTTTTCTCAGATAATGGAATCCACAGCGCTTTCTAATTCCTCATTAAGGAAGTCGTGTTCCTCCATAGATCTTGCAAGATGGTCCATAACGCTTTAAAGTTGAATTCAGCGGACATAAACGCCCGTAAGTGCTACGGTCTATTGTGTGACTAAATGCAAATCAGACAGTATCCCACTCTGTGTGCTGGTCTGTCATATAATCTGCTTAGTTAAGCTTGGTCAGCCAAAGCATTGCACGTAATTTCTAGGAGTGTTTACTACCTACGGATTCAGCTTAAAAGCCTTATGGACCGCCATGAAAGATCTATGGAGGAACATGATTTCCTTATGGAGGAATTTCAAGGCGCTACGGGTTTAATTAGCTGAGAAAAGATACAAACATCTGTCGGTGTCCAGGTGGAAATTGTCAACCATCGTGAGCTCTGAGGTCAGTTGTCACAAGCTCAACATCTGTGAGTCATTTTTTAAGCTGGCCAGACGCTGACTCTGCGGTGACGTCCTGATTGGCGAAAACTGGATTCCAGTTTGTAAAACAAACTTGTTCTGAGTTCTGTGTCAGCTGCAGAGGTCAAGCCGATTACACAAATGAGTGATTCGAACTGATCATCCGTATGTTGTTTGTGTTTGAAACGTTAGCATGACTCACTCTGCCTGCCTATGAAACATAATCCTGGGATTGATCCCTAACCAGCTTCAAACACTGGTAACGGGTGTTGAATATTGAGAACCTTCCACCAAAAATGGATCTGATTACATTTACGGTCTCCTGGAGATTGTATTCACAGGAATGTTTCGGTAGAATGAAATTAAAATACTGATTGTGTTCATTTGCACCCAGATGCCGCAACAACAACCATACTTTGGCCACATCATCAAGTGTGATCGCGTCAACCAGAAAGATGTCTACATAACATCTGTACCAGGTTGCGAATGTGATACCCTTCTCTGTCATATTGGAAATCCTGCATTTCGTTTGCCAACGTTCCAGTAGAAGTGCAGTCAGTCTTCACCGTGGTGGGGGTTAGATTTCTGCATGACTGTTTCTCAGTGAATGCTTGGAATAAAAATGTATGTCTATGTTCTTGTTAAAGCACAGTCCGCTGTTGCTGCTGTATTTAAGCTGGCTGCTGTTGTACTAATTGGATTACCCGTGAATGATCAGCCATCTCCGTCGCTAGTGTTATAATCGCGCTTCGTAGGGTGTTGAGCCGTCAAAAAAAGACCTGCACCGCACCAGACAGTGTAGTAACCAGATGAAATGTCACATGAAACAAGTGAGACAAACGACAATATGGGTTAAGTTGAGATTGTGTGTCAGACCGGCCGCCTCGCATAGTTGGCGTCCTCGTGCAAATGAACCACAGTAGAGCAGATGGTGAGAGTGAAATTCACAGTCGGCGTGTGGGACGAGGTTGTACTCTTAAGGCGCCTGCTAGCCTGGCATGTCAGAGTCGAGGCATTGACATGGGTGCTACGTTTCAATTCCCTATGGGTCATCACAATCAGATGGGTTAGGATGTACCGTGTGACGATGGGCGTTGGCCTGATGAGTACCTCCAGGTGTAGGGCGCAACATACTGTTGTAAGGCATGGTCACTTAGTCCTACAGAGATGCCTGTCAGTGGCTAGTCAATCATGACTTCCTCATTTGCATGTATGAGGTCCACTACCAATGGTCGGTTGTTAGATCTGTGCTTGGCGGATAGGGTGATGTGCCTGAGTGGTGGAAAACATTCTTTAAGTCCTTGAATCGCGGATGTGAGTATTTCGCTGGAGGATGCCAAGATGTCCAGGACGTGTAGGTTGAAATCGTCTGGAATATGAACGTGGCTACGAGTCGGGAACAAGCTTAGGTCATAGCTGATACCAGTCAGGAATCCGTCACTGTAGTGAGCAACTTGGGGGAGATAATTGGTTGTCACGAAACCGTTGTCAAACCCGCACCATAACCCCTTGGTGACCAACGCCTCGAGAACTCTCACAGACTTGCACTGTAATTTGTTGCAATAATAGAGAAGTACGCTTCTTGCTCTGCTGGGACCATAGTTTCGGTACTGGGACATACCTTGAATCGCTATATTGGGATCTGCGACATCTGAGATCAAACAAGTCTCGTTTGTGGAAAAGTGATCGCAATGAGGCTAGACCTTAACGTGGTGGGATGATTTGTGTGCCTCAGTGATCCATTGAGCTATGCTTAGTGGTGCTTTTGCACCTTCAGAGCCACTCATACCAGATTGGTCAATGGTTAGAGGCCAGACAAACTCAGCCTCCTGGTCCTCCAGGTTGGGGGTTGGAATGAGGGGGGCTCCTTATTCCTTAAAACACACTCCTAGTAGCCCAATGCCAAACCCGCTGCCTTGCGGTAAGGTTGTTGGACCAAAGGCTTTGGTTTAGAAGCCCAACCTTTCTCCTGTCTAGGCCTGGGAAATCTGACTGTATCCTGCCCACACAATACAATGAATCTCTCTTCAAACAAACTTTTGATGCTCTGTCCACCGCAGAGGATAATAAACGACGCCCTAGCTGTTGCATCGAGCAGGTTGGATAGGGGTTTGGATGCTACTGCTCAAGCCTTCCCGTCTTCTTATGCCCCCTCTCAGGTGTTTTCACTCTTACTGTCCCATTTCAGTTTCATTTTTCCCCCCAGTTTCAACCCCGATTCTCGGCCCTTTCCCAACATGCTTAGCTAGGCGTTTATCTTCTAATTTCAACTCACATGTGAACGCGGAGCGTCACTCCTCCCCCGTCGACAAGCCCATGTAAAACCAAGCGGTCCATTCCAGTTCATTGGCTTGCATTTGGAGCCCTCGATCCTCCTTCAGATTGGCATGCTTCAATGTACGCACATTGTTATAGATCGGTCAACAGGCAGCACTTGCCCGAACATTGAAGACCGTCTCGATCGATATCTACTGCTCATCGGAAATCCATCTGCAAGACTAGAGCTCTGTGCTCACTCTGCGATCCCCTTCAACTGATACAAACAGTATTCGCTCCTTGCGCCCATACGATGTATCGTCGAGCACTGACCAAGCTGGTGTTAGCATTGCCCTGAGTCCCCTGGCTGAAGTTGCTCTGGTTGGTTGGATTCCAATCAGTAACCGAATGTGTGCTGTCCGATTGGCTGACACGTTCAATGCTTCGAAGTCGCGCGGAACTAATAGGTGTCTATTCATCATCGCTGCTTACGCGCCCACAAACTGTAGCGAAGATTCGGTAAGGAACGACTTCTACCGCCAACTGCCCCAGCTCCTTCGCCACAGAAGAAGCACGGACACTGTTGTGCTGGCGTGGGATCTGAAGGCACAAGTTAGAAAGTTGTCCATTGGTGGAATACATCTGGGCTGTCAGCACGGTGTAGGCACACGTAATGATAACTGTAAACGGTTACTTCATTTGTATGAAGATGCTCGCTTATTTCTTGCGAGCACTAACTTCCGACACAGCAACCGCCAGAGGGTGGTTTGGCGCCCACCAGCCTCGAACCAGTCGTGGACGCAGACCGATCACATTGCTATCAGTTACCGCTGGAGAGGTTGCATCCAGAACTGTCGCTCGATTTGAAACATATGTGTGGACACCGATCATGCACTTGTATGTACTGACATGCGGATGCGTTTTGGCGGACGCCCACGACGACACTGTGAGCGTATTGACACCAGCCAACTGACAAAGCCAGCTGTTCTGAATGCGTATCGAAGTACGCTGACATGCGAGTTGAGTAAGTGCTCACTAGGGAAAATTGAGGGTCACTGGTCGCGTGTTAACCAGACCTTATTAGCAGCAGGCAAATCCTCATGTGGTATGTCTAATAGCCAATATGGATATTGGGTCTCTTC